CCATCCAAAAGAAATAAATAAATAAAAAGAAAAGAAACAAAGAAAGACGGTTTGCAGTCGCAGCACATTCAGCGTCATGTCCGCTAGAAGGTTTGTTGGCGGTGGGCGTGAATGCAGGGATGATCCATCATCCTCACCTTTTGGCTCACCCTATGGTTGGGATGAAGTCTGGAGGACAACTCCTGTGAACCCCCTTTATACCAAAACGCTGCCAATACGCCATTATACAGTAGCTGGAAGTTAGAAACATGTTCAGCGCTCGTCTGGAATACGTCAGATACGTTGAGATGCGTTGGAGAGAAGTTCTTGATAAGGTACACGTAAGTTATGCACAAGTTACTCAGAGGTTTTGGATAAGCTAGACACCATGACATGAGTAACTTACAATTAACGCATGTCAACTATCCGAAAACTTCCCTGTAAATTATGTATGCATATAAGCATATGCTGACGTACTCGTCATAGTGTGCCAGCGTGTTTCTGCCTGCTCATAACTTACAAAACACATACAAAACCGGCCCATAACTTATCCAACATATGCCAGTGTTTTTGCCAGATTTTTTGTACGTTAAGGCATATGCTGGTCTAAATCGTCAAGGTGTGACAGAGGCTTGACTGAGTAAAAGACTTCACCTTTACCAAGTATGGTCGGCTTTTAGTGTATCTGGTAACATTTGCATTCCATTTATTCATACGTAACCATAAAACGATCTGACTCAAATCCAGTCATATTCATCTAAAAAAAGGCTTATATTCCACTGGACGAGTCCAACTTCCTCTTAATAGATGTTAAATTAGTTTTAAAACAATCAAATAAACCTGTAAGAAAGAAAAAAATAACAATGTAAGACTAAAAGCAGGCTCGTATCGATTGACAGGATGGAATTTATTTATTTCGTAATTTATTTATTTCGTAATGTTCACTAGTTTTTCACGAGATGACTTCTGTCACTGACCAAAAATGACCTGTAATTACAGTAGTAGCCATTCAAAATGTCCCTTCTCAGTCAAACGCCAGCCCAATTCCGTCCAACTCCCAATGAAATCCCCTCCAACTTCCAGCCACTGGAGTGATCCCATCTTACATATTTTTTTTCTTTGACTCCACCCTTTCACTGAATTACAGGGTCTGACAAGGAGATGATGCTTCTCTTTAGATCCTAATGTCCACAAATCATGACAGAAAGAATATTTTAGTCCAAAGGCTGATGTTTAAAAAGGAATTTATGGGGACCAGCCAAGGATCCATCATGGAAAGGAGGGATATTTTGAATGGCTACTACTGTATATGGCCTAACTTTATGAAGGACTGGTGTGGACATGTCCCCTCTAATAATTTCTGCTTTTTTCATCTTTCTGCTCATTTACTTTAGCCAAAGGTAACAGATTTGGGTGCAGCTATCTATCAGGTGTTTTTTTTCCTCTCTCCCGCTGCTCCCGTGTCCCGCCTCTCGATGTAACATCATCGGATCTGTTGCTTTGAGACACCTGATTTGCGGTCACACTTCACTGCTTTCAACGTAGCTACATGGTTGGAGGAGACACAGACGGCAGCTCTCAGTGAATTTAACCAGCAGCTACTTCGATGTTTAAGTAAAAGTTATGAGACGGCTTGGTTGAAAAAAATTAGAGATGCCAATTTTTTTTAGCTAGAAATCACAACAGATTGTAAGTTTATACAAGTTAGTAATATTATGCAAGAAGCTTGAAAAAAACAAAGTTTGTTCTTCTTTACTAGTTAAAAAAAGCTTGGCTTCTCAGAGGACCATGACTCCCAGTTACAGGTTAAAATTAACATGTTTTTTTTTATTGTACAGACAGAATCAGACTGCAGAGCTTCTACAGATCTTGAAATGTTTTTTCTGGCATCATTATATTAGTAAAGAGGTTCATAAATCTTTTAGCACAGAGTGAAGTAGGGAGAGCTGCAGATTTAAAGGTGAAACAGATTTACTGGAATATGCAACATGCAATAAAATATATCTCCAAGTTTACCAGAGAGTTTACAAGAAAAAAATATGCTATGCTATATTAAAATGCAGCATATCCATATTTTTCAGGATGCATAGAATTGAAATTGTACTTCTAAGGATGCATTATCTATCGATTTTGGCATCGGAATCGGCTGTTATTTGTTATTTTTTATACAGTAATGTTTTTGGACCCTATATGTGTAATGTACTAAAAAGTATCTCTCCAGCATCTATAAAGATAAATGTCAATGTATTTTGGTTCCCTTGTGTTCGGAACAATAGGAAAACATTCAATAAATATATGTTTGAGCTGATTTTTAGAAAATACAAAAACCTAATGAAAGCATTTGGGTTGAGTAACTGTAGGTCCATCAGCCCCCACCCAAGTCACCCCACCAACTTTCATTGAAAGTTAAATCCTTTTATGACCCCTTTTAAGTCAGGATACTCCATAGATCTTTACTCTATATTTGATCATGCATGACAAATGATGGCTAACATTATATATACAAGTGACACTGGGACTGAACTTGCATTCCTATTGTTGCAGGGAAAACTTCTACATCCTACTTTACTGCCACCCCAGCAAACACCTATGGGACTAGAAAAGCAGCAACAGGGCTTCTCACTCTATACTACATTAAATTTGGTCATATTGGCACCTATAATAAAGCTCTGTTTACTCTACAGTCTGATTTTTACAGACGGATGTTTGAGCACTATGAAGATCTGCTGAATTTCAGAGGTGTTTTTCTATCCTTAAACTGGATCTTCACCACACTCCTAACCCCCTGCTAAATCCTTCATTTTAGTGTTTCTGGCACAGTCACATCAACGAGGTCCTTATTGGTTTAGTTAAAAGCTTTGGCTTCACTTCCCTATATTAGCTTACCTGTTTCATATCTTTCAGCACAGGCACAGAGGCATATGGGTTTGCCATGTTTGTTCTCCGAGGACTTTATTGGAATGCTTTTTGGATGGCTGTACTATTCATGCCAGAGATAATAGCTTGAGGAGATATACTTTGACTTTATATACTGTTTCTCCTGTGTGCCTGAGTTCATTAGATGCGCAGGCCTGTGGTTTGAAGCAA